CCCCAACTCTCCCCTCCCCAACCCTCCCCTCCCCCAACCATCCCTCCCCAACTCTCCGCTCCCCCAACACTCCCCTCCCCACGTTACCTTGAAGCAAGCACACTTTTCGATGGGGTCACAGTGAGTGACGGTGTAAATATCCACCCAGTTTGTGACGAGCAGGCCCACGGCACAGTTTTTTTGGTAGTTAAAGTACACATTGTCGAACGTGCGGTAGATGTCTTCGCCAGAAGTCATGCAAGTTGCACTGTTCCGTGTCTGGTTCACGACAACCACGTCAGCTGGGAACAGAAACAAAATCATTCCCATAAGTTGTTGTTTTGTTTTTTTGTTGTTGTTTTTTGTTGTTGTTGAATAAACAGTATTTGCAGTACCGAGATGCTCGATCACTACAGACATTTCTTTAATAATAATAATAATAATAATTGCATTTATATAGCGCATATCCATGCTCAAGAGCTTGCTCTATGCGCTTTACAACTATTATTACCCCAGCAGACCCTCTGAGAAGACTCAGAAACATTCTCAGCTTCCGCGGAAGCATACATTTACCAAATTGTTTGTATTGAAAGCCTTAAAACAGACAGATTTGTATCAACGTCGTGCGTTTCAGGAAAGACCATCGAGTTTGGAGCAGTCAGATGACATAAATGTGGATGGATTTGGTGCTTGATTCTTCTGTTTTGAATTCAGTTTTGGTGGGAATGTAAAGTTCTGGAATGACTCAATGGATAATTGTGAGGCAGCGTGGTGGAATCAGGCTCTCGTCAAAATAATCAAAGAGAAGAAACTTGCATTTTTCTGCAGGTTGATGAATTTTTATCAAATTTTTGTTTTTTGGCTCAACACTTTTCATGGCCATTAAAGAACTTATTTCTGTGTGGATTTTTCTGAAAAGTGTAGATTAAAAGCATTAAAAATGTAAATCTTTAGTTACCACCGACTCTTAAGCTAAGGAAATAACTAATCTTTGGCGGCCATTTTCTCACTAATTTTACCTCTGAAAACAGGTGACCCCCACCTCCTTCTTTTGCAAATATCTCGACTTGTATTCAAGATAAATGGATATTTTTGCATCCAAATAAAGACAAGTGAACAAGCTTTAAGATAATACCAATAATTCTACATGCCCAAAAATTGACGAGAGCCTGATTCCACCACGATGCCTCATTTTTTTATTCTGCTTTTCTCTAAACTTCTTTAACCACCAACTGTGGTAGATAAACTTCGGTGGAGAAACCATAACATCACTTGTCCACGATGGCAAGATAGGGTGTGATCAAAACCCCTTGGGATTTTTTGGAGCCATTATTAGATATAACATTAACTTTAAGCTCAACATCATATCCATGTATGACTGTTTCTCCTTGTTTTTCTTTTGGAAGGCTTTAGTGATGAGCTCAACTTCTTTAACTTTGCACCCAGAACGGAAGTGAAGAATGGTGTAACTATCACACTTTCATGCGTATATGTAATAGATATTATATATATATATATATATATATATATATATATATATATATATATATATATATATATACATATTTATATATATATATATATATATATATATATATATATATATATACAGAGAGAGAGAGAGAAAGAGAGAGAGAGAGAGAGAGAGAGAGAGAGAGAGAGAGAGAGAGAGAGAGAGAGAGAGGGAGAGATCGTCGATCGATCGAACGATCGATAGATAGATAGATAGATAGATAGATAGATAGATAGATAGATAGATAGATAGATAGATAGATAGATAGATAGATAGATAGATAGATAGATAGATAGATAGATAGATAGATAGATAGATGGCGCTCTCTGTTAACTATTCACTTACTCTGCACACAAGGAGTACACTGGTATGTAGAACTCTGGCTACCGAAGGATCCAGCGAAGCCGTCAGCGCAACAATCGGAAATTTCCATTGCTTTGGCGTCCTCCAATGGACCACGGCAGTTGTTGGACTTGTAACAGTACCTCTTGTTGCTGCTTGCAATCTCTGTAAAAGGGGGGGGGGAGGGGGAAGAGAGGTATAAAAAGTCAGAACGTAGCACTCAAATACAATTAATGAACCTTGTGTATCATAATTTCACATTTATCATGTTTTTATCTCAGTCAGGCGAAAGTGAAGTAAAGGCGGCGTGGAAATGAACTGGCCACCCTACCAAAATATGCCGAAGGCCCAGGAAATTGTCTCACTAACAAAGCAATCCCCAAAGTCCAGATCGGATGCGGGAACAACTTTACAACTTTACCGAGTGAGTTAATAAAAAAAGAGGCGTTTACCCAGGGAGTTAATGGAAAAGAGGCGTGATATATTTTAGTGTAAAGCGCATAGAGCTTGCTGTAGCGCTATACAAATGCTACTTATTATTATTATAATAATTATCATTATAATGATAATTATTATTATTATTATTATTATTATTATTATTATTATTATTATTATTATTATTATTATTATTATTATTATTGTTATTATTACCCAGAGAGTTAATGAAAAAGCAGGGGCGTGTACCCGCTAGTGAACAACCTATGGTAACGAACAAAGAGACGTGTACCGAGTGAATTAACGAAAAAAGGCGTGTTCCCAGAGAGTTAATGAAAAGGCAGGGGCGTGTACCCAGTACCCAGAGAGTTAACGAAAAAGCAGAGGCGTGTACCCACCGGTTGTGTTCTCTTGACACTGCTCTCCGGCGAATGGAGGGACACAGACGCACTCTGGGAGCGCCTTCATCCACGCTGGAAGGTCTGTCCTGCCGCGGCACTCGCCACCGTTCTCACACGGCAGCGCGCACTCCGCTGGGGAAAGACAAAAAAACAAAACACATCATCATTTTGTTTTGTTTTAGGAAGGTTTTACGGCGCTCTACCAGCACCAGCACCACCACTATACAAACAGACACATGTTTTGTTTTAAGAAAGTTTTACGGCGCTCTACCAGCACCAGCACCACCACTATACAAACAGACTCATGTTTTGTTGGTTTTTTTGCCTTCTGGAAGGAGGATATCACTATCCTACAGAGAGACCCGTATGCAAATATCCAAGAAGACTGAATAGAGCGATTTGATTTTATCTTTTTTCCGCCACGATCAGATGAAAAGTGAACAGCTATTATTATGGAAAAGGGGAGATAAGTTTTAGATTTAGTAAGGTTTTACGGCGCTTGCAACTGCATGAGGCCATATGAGGTCAACAGAGAAGTCCAAAAGGGGAATCAGGCTTGCTCTGCTGACCTCTCTAGCCTCAACAGCACAAAGTCTGCTTCGACTATCAAGTGCACTACACCATCATTAATTACATTTATGATCGTTTATTTATGAATAATTATTTGGTCGCTTTTAAGGTCAAGCCAAATGCTAGAATCTGCGTTCAAGCAGCTTTACCCAGTGTTCTTCTTGTAGGAAATAAAACAAGCTGAGCGGACATTGGTCCGTGGTACGTGCTAGATCATTGGGTCACTTTTAAAGGACAAGCAAGTTAACCCAGATTTCGGAGGTTTCCAGAAATCTTGACCTTCACCAAAATTGGGCATAGTCCTGCATATAGGAGAAGTTTGGTTTCATTGATGTGTATAATATGTGTTTGATTATTGAGAAAACTTTCCTTTCTTTTAAAGAAACTGAACGAGGGGCAAAAACTTTGCCTTCGATATTCTCAAAACATCTTTTTTCGGATAGCCCCCTTGTGCTTAAAAGCGACCATATTTTGTTTTGTTTAATTTTGCTTTGTTTTGTCCTGACATATAACACTTTGAAAATAGACGTAGCCTTACCTTCATTACATTCATTTCCAGACCAGCCGGGGCAACAGGCAGTCACAACCTGGTGGTTTGTCCTGGAGTGGGGAGTGGGGTTTGGGGGGTGGGGGAGGGTAGATGAAAAACAGTCATGTAAATTCTCATTGTAAAGCACCCAATGAAAAACAGTCATGTAAAATTTCATTGTAAAGCACCCAATGAAATCTATCTATGTCTCTATCTATCTATCTATCTATCTATCTATCTATCTATCTATCTATCTATCTATCTATCTATCTATCTATCTATCTATCTATCTATCTATCTATCTATCTATCTATTTAGCTGTAGCTAACTATCGGCATCTTGAAATTTTGAAATACTATCGTGTTCGTCACTTACTTTTCAAACATACACATCTGGTTGGGGTTGGCCATGTCGATGTTTTCGATGGTGTCGCCGAGGACCTTGTGGAAGATGAAACCATCTCTGATCACATTCCAGATCTCGCTACAGGCGTAGGTGGCGTACGTGGGGACGGGGATCCGCTGGTCACAGAAATGCCTGGGTTGGAAGAAAGAAAAGAAATTTTAATCATAATAGTTTTGAACACTGCTTATGAATTTTTTTTTATAGTAGGGTTTGGTTTGTTTTAGTAGAGGTTTTACGGCGCTCGCAACTGCATAAGGCTATATAAGCACCAGAAGTTAAGAGGTGTTACAAGAGAGTAACAGATATAAAAAGAAGGAGGGGAGATAAGGACGATAGATTTTTTTATAGGAAAGAAGAAGCAAACCACTCCAGAGCCCCTGCAAACCTCCCACTAGTAAGGTTTTAAGGCACTTGCAATTGCTAAGATCATATGAGCGCCATCGCCAAGGGGTGGATGCCAACAGAGAAGTCCATACGGGGAATCAGGCTTGCTCTTTGGTAAGTTTCTTTGAATAACAAAATTCTTAGTATACCACTGTCGTCGGACCTCAGACTTACTCTGCTCACCTCTCTAGCCTCAACAGCACAAAGTCTGCTTCCACTATCAAGGCAGCCCGGAAATAGCAGGTTCCAAGAGAGTGACAAAACATACAAAAGAAGTAGAGGAAAAGTGATGATAGTAATGATGAGGAAAGAAAAAGTAGCAGTTTCCCGTATATTGTTAAGGCACAGTTATGAGCATGACACTGATAAATCAGTCCATTTACAATTATACAGCGCGTATGAATATGTAAATGTCCCCCATTTAGGAATGGCCTAAAGACACTTCAGACAGTACCACTTCCCTCGTGAGGCATGCTTATGAAAAGCTGCACGATTCTGGATAGGCCTTGAAAGATCTTGTCAGTTTGTTAGTGTTTGAGCGCTTAATCGGCTGCTCGCACTGTATGCTTCCCGGGAAGCTGAGAATGTTTCGGAGTGTTCTATGGTCTGCTGGGGTAATAATATAGTGTAAAGCGCATAGAGCTTGCTGTTGAGCGGGGATGTGCGCTATACAAATGCTATCTATTATTATTATTATTTGAAGAACAATTAATAGTATTATTAAAAGTAAAGCTCCATTTCAGGTGTAGGTGAGCACAGTATCTATCCGGAGACGTCTCCCCCGGAGATAGACCAAACAAAATGCTTTGTGACTCTAGACCAAGCTCAAAAATATGTGGGGGTTACAGCCATAATTTGATATTTTGCAGTTAGGTTTGGAATTTTCTTGAAAATAATTCATTTGACACAGTTTTAGTGGCTATATGTGTGATCTGCAGCAAAGACCCCTCCCCCCCCCCCCCCCACAAAAAACCCCACAAAAACAGTGCATCTGTGTGTGGGAGTACGTCTCCGAGTAGTTCCTGGGTGCTCGCCGGAAACGTCTCCGAATATCTTCTGCCACGTAAGCGATAGTGTCTGCGTTACTGTCCAGATTAAGCGATTCCGAAATAGACCGCAAGCCAAAACAGGAGAATGTTGGGTGAAACCGGCCAAAATACCGAAGCTCTCAAACGTTAGACTAAATGAATTTGTCACTAATTTACATTACGTCCCTGGGTGTTATTTCTTGGGAAAAGTTGTTAAATCTATTGCTTCCAGTGGTGACAGAAACTAGATCTCTATTGATGTTAGTTTTCAAGACTGACAGTTTCCATAGACAGCGAAAGATCTGGTCAGTATGTTAGTGTTTTAGCGCCCATGAATGGCAGCTTGCACTGTATGCTTCCCAGGAAGTTGAGTTTGTTTCAGAATGCTGTCAGGTCTGCTGGGGTAATGGTATAGATTTTGAAACGCATAGAGCTTGCTGTTAAGCGGGGATTTGCGCTATATAAATGCTATCTATTATCTATTTTTATTACTTGGTCGACGTAAAGCCTAGCTTGACTCAGATTTGTTCGCGGGCAGGATATGGCCCGGGGGGGGGGGGGGGGGGGGGGGGGGATTTTATCGAGTACATGTATCTCTTTTTTTAGTTCGGTTTTACGGCGCTCGCAACTGCATAAGGTCATATGACCGGCACATGTATCTCTGTGTTTAACATCTGGGAGAACACATCCCTCCTCCTGAATGCTCAAACCAGTGTTGATTGAGGCGTAAAATATCTAAAAGTACTAATGTAAACGTGAGCACGCATGTAGATCTAGGCAGAAGTGATCGGGTAGAGCTTTGCGAACGATCCCCAGAATGTAGACAGTTAACCGACAGCGGACAAATAGCGAAAATGTTGGACAAATAGCGAAAATGTTGGACAAATAGCGAAAATGTTGGGGACAAATGGCGAAAATGTTGGACAAATAGCGAAAATGTTGGGGACAAATAGTGAAAATGTTGGACAAATAGTGAAAACGTTGAACTCTGTTATTCACACTAGTCTTTTTACTGTCTTTAAAACAATTTGTTTTAGAGTTTGTAAAACAATATACCTAACTATATTCTTATGTGGTCTTATATTCAATACTAAACACTTTCTTAATATTGTAGCTTTTTAAACTCGTTTTCTTTATCTTGCCCACTAAGTGTTAATACATTTCTTTTTAGCAGTTCCAGTTGAAAAAAAGTGAACAGTTATCTCTTCATTCAACCTGTCCCTTTATAGGTAACAGTATTCATACAGCCAATAAATGACTTATACACCCAATCTTCACCAAACCCTTTAAGGCTTTGCATAATTCTGAATCGGGTTATTAATTATCTCTTTATCAACAGCAACTTAAACTTTTGCTTGCAATGTTAACTCAAACTTTTGCTTGCTAGAGTTCAGATATAGGTTAATAACCCCTTTCAACAAGCAAACAAAAGCTATTTGAAAAGGCGAGACCTCCAAATTTAAAGTGAAATTTTCAAAGGACTGAGCAAAGATAATAATAATAATAATAAATTATAATTTTATAATAACATTTATTTATCATTTAACGTGTATTCATTAACAGGAGCGAGCAACGATAAAAATAGTAATTGATTGATATTTCGTCAATATAATAGTAATGGGCAAGAGACAAATATGATTAATCCTTATACTTTTTATTATTGTTTAACGTTAAAAGCGAATCTCTGATAGAACCGAGAAAAAATGGGTGGGGTGGGGAACATTTAAAAAATCCCAAAACAACCACCCAAGTTCAGAATTCCCTGTTGGGGATTGGAACCAGAGTCGTCCGCTCCTTAGTCCAGCGTGCTACCAACTGTGGTTGATGGTGAGGGGAAATATTGCCAAGGAGAAATGTTGAAAACCCTGAAGGAAAAGTTGCGGGATGAGGATGACAGGGAGACAGCAGAAAACCACGCAATCACCCGGATGCGGGAAATGGGGATCGAGAGGGGAGAGGGAAGAAAGGAACGGTTATCTGGAAAGGAAAGACGTCGCCATAATCAGACAGCCACTGGAACAATTAGTGTGGATACCTTGTGGGCTTTGGTGCTGGGGGGAACTGAGCACGTATGGACCGTGTGCAATGACGTTGTTGCCCAGGACAGGTAAGACAAGTAAATAAGACCAACTGAACTAACGGCAAGCTCCATTGTAAAAGAAATTATTGAAAAAACTCGCTTAACAATGTATTACAAAACGTAGTTAATTGTTTGGAACCGTCAGCATCTACACACTTCGAGATGTGCTTCTTCAAGGAACGGAGCGCTTATGGGGTTGCCCCTTGTGCAGTGATGTCGGTCCTCCATACAAGTAAACAAGTACAAAACGTAGGCCCCATTCTCATAACAAGGGGTTGTTGTTCAAATCCAAATTCATCTCACCCCTGGATAGTAAAGCTAATTTAATGTGCAATTATAATTCTGTCATCAAACTAAGATAATGCTGATGATAATCAGTGTGTGTGTGGAGGGAGGGGGGGGGGGGGTATGCTTTAATTAGATTGTCCTTTTTAAGTGAAGATTAGTTGGTTGTTCAACAGCATAATAATCAATATATTTTTCCTTTTTGTTTTCTTTTGTTTTCTTTTCTTTCTTTTTTTCTTTTCTTTTTTGGGGGGGGGGGGGGGTCTTTCTTTTTTTTTTTTTACTGCGGGTGCGTGAGGTGCACACACATAGTACCCGGGGTTTTATTTTTAAATTCCGAAATTGTTAGCTAAAATAATTATCTAGGGAGTATGAGGGTGGATTTTAATAGATGAAGTTGGGACAGATATCTTACACGTCATGGTTGTAAAGGGCAGCTGAGAGATTTCTAGTAAAATAGGAATCCATGAATCCAGGCATTTAATTTATTAAGATATACATTTTAAAATAGAGGGTGCGGTGGAGGAGTGGTTAGTGTGCTTGTCTCCGAAGCAGAAAGTCCGGGTTCGAGCCTCGTTTCGGAAACGGATTTTTTTCCCCCCGTCCTGCCCAACCAGCAGTAATGGGTACCTGACTTCGAGTTGGGGAAGTAAAGGCTGCGTGGAAAGGAACTGGCCACCCTATCACAATATGCCGAGGGCCCAGGAAGTTGTCTCACTAACAAGGCAATCCCCAATGCTGGAACAACTTTACTTTACTTTACATTTTAAAAAGCATATTATTATAGTAGTGGCTTTTGAGGTTTGCTTGATTATTTTCTTCTTCTTCTTCTTTCGTAAGAGTTTTACGGCACTTGCAACACAATAGGTCATATAAGTGCCGATTTGCTTCTTCCTCTTTATCAATTTGGAGACGTTTCGAGAGAAGGGGGAGGGGGGGGGAGGCTAAAGCAACAAAACATTATTCTATGGATTATCTGTGGTAGCACCACTCATTTTCAGGCCAGTTTCGCAACAGAACAGGAGTAGATAGACTTACAGCCTGGGCGCTATGTGGGGGGGGGGGGGGTGTAAAGGACATGTGGCGTGCTTAAACCTTTACGGAGGTTTGATAATTAATCTGCACGCTAACTCACCAGGTATTTATTTCGATTGCCCCTGTCTCCCCTTTCTTTCCTCCTTCTTCTTCAACACGTATTCAAACAAATTCATACACAAAGCTACAAAAATCCCCAAATCAATTCTCTCGAAAGGAAAAAAAAAAGAATAGAATAAAGTACCTAGTAAAAATAAAGCATCCTAATTTTTGTGGAAACCCTCAGAACTTCCCAAAAACGGGAGCCTTTAGTCTTTTCAGACTTTTCTCTCCTGGCTCCCGCTTCTCTTTGCTTGTCTTTACAGTTGTTTCCCTTTGCTTGTCTTTACAGTTCTTTCCCTTTGCTTGTCTTTACAGTTGTTTCCCTTTGCTTGTCTTTACAGTTCTTTCCCTTTGCCTTAAATCTTATTATTAAGGGAAGTCACGGGCTATTGGGTGTCGACTTAAGGGAGGGGGGGGGGGATCATACATGAATCAACATTCATTTTCACCAAGTGAGATGTTTAAAAAGAAAAGAATCTTCGTAAATCCCCAAAATATGAGATTGCCGTATATATAATAATAATTAATAATTGCATTTATATAGCTCATATCCATGCTCAAGAGCTTGCTCTATGCGCTTTACAACTATTATTACCCCAACAGACCCCCTGAGAACACTCAGAAACATTCTCAGCTTCTCGTACAGTCTTTTCCTTCTTCCGATTTCTATTTCCCTTCAGTTTGTTTGTGCTGTTCCCTCCCTTTATTTCTATGTTCGTATTTTTGCTTTTGGTTGTTACTGGGATGAAGAGGGATAGCACGGACTTAGGGACGAGGATTCAAAGATGTGTGGAGTGAAAGGGGGGGGGGAGGGGGGAGGGGGAGGGTAATCACACAAAACGTGAATCAAAATGAATGTTCACGGGGTGAGATGTATGGATGTTCACGGGGTGAGATTTATGGGTGTTCACAAGGGGATATGTATGAATGTTCACTAAGGGAGATGTATGGATGTTCACGGGGTGAGATTTATGGGTGTTCACAAGGGGATATGTATGAATGTTCACTAAGGGAGATGTATGGATGTTCACGGGGTGAGATTTATGGATGTTCACAAGGGGATATGTATGAATGTTCACAAGGGGAGATTTATGAATGTTCACAGGGTGAGATTTTCAGAAAAGGGAAGTAACTTACCCAGTGGTCTGTGCCGTGGTTGCGGTCAGGGTCAAAAGGAATGTGATCAGTCCGGATAGAATGGGGGCGGTAGTGCCCATGATTGCCTTCAGGCAGGTCGGCTTGGAGCCTGAGAAAACCGTTGGATGTATTCTATGGATGAAGGTGCGGTGGGAGACGAAATTTTAACAAATAACTTCACAAGTAGCACGTAGCACCGTTCCAGAGCGCACCGCTCCTTGTAGGTCTAGAGGGCAAGCCGGAGCTTTTATAGAAGTGTTCTCAAACAGGGTCGTTACAAAAGAAACCAATTTTGTCAGTCAGCCAAAATCTCGACCAATAGCAACGGAGTAAAGATTTATACAAGCAGAAACCGAATGATGGATGAAACGGCTGGCGATAATCCTTTCGTTGACGAGAAAATTCGTACATACCTCGATTTCGGAAAAGGATTACACGTAACAGATGTTCTACGACGTGATTGTTCAAGAGTCCGATAGTTTGGTTTGGCCCTTTTCTCGAGCCGTGTTCCTTTCCCAATCCATAATCTAATATGCGATTTGCAACTTGAAAGTGAAATATGCTGACCGGCGACAATTTTTCCGTAGTATTCAGGGGAGCAAATTCAAGTTGTTTACCGTCTTGAGGAGCGAATTTCAGAGCTTATAGATTTTTCTAGGTAACAGCTGCTTGGTGACTGGCAAAAATCCTATCGGGGAAATAAAGCTGCAAGCAGACGAGAAAATTGTAAAAGGAAAAAGAAAAAAAAAAGAGAGGTCGAAAAATTATAATAATATAACCAGTTTGGTCACACTTTGAACACGTGATTATTGATTGTCATTTCTTCAATCAAATAGTGAAAACTTTTCAAACTGGTTTTGAGAAAGGATTGCGGTTTGGGGTGCTACTGGGGCAGCCTATAGGGCGAGAGTTGTTGTGAGTTACCGTAAAAAAAAGGGGGGGGAAAGAGATGGCCTTTGCACTTTAAGTCAAGTTTTAATTTCGAGGGCATAAATGTTATATTGTCCCGAGTGAGAAGAATTGGAAGTGAAATAATTGAGCTTTATCGAAATAATATCATAGACACAAGGCCATTTCAATCAAGTATTGTTGATAACATTCTCAGTTTTTTCCTTGTGTAAATAAAATTTCATCGTGTGTATTTTTATGTGAGCTGTAAAAATGAACCCTTCATGATTGTCTAGATGAGTGCTTGGTGAGCTGAGCGCTACGGCCTTCTAGTGGGAAGTTTGGTAACTTTGACGGGTGGTGGGGATCACCCGGGAATGTAACGAGTGCTGTTTAGTATTTCTGCAGCGTGCTGAAAAAAGGAGTTACTTTTCAGATTCGAGCCCCAAAAAAATAGATATATCACGTTCAGAGGTGACGTTTTTACAATCTATAAGTATGAAATAATAAAAGGCGTGTTATACTTAAAGTATATGGCATTAATAGAAAATCTACAAATTTGACCCCAGCGTCAATTTTTGGCCAATATCTTCATTTCTGGATCTTGAAAAGTAACTCATATTGTCAGCACGCCTCACATTTAGTTGTAGTAGCAGTAGTATTTGTAAGGTTTTACGGCACTTGAAACTGCATAAGGTCATATGAGCGCCAAGTGATGGATGTCAACAGAGAAGTCCTTACAGGGAATCAGGCTTACTCTGCTCACCTCTCTAGCCTCAACAGCACAAAGTCTGCTTCGACTATCAAGGCACCCCGGAAAGAGGCGTTTAGAAGAGAGTGACAAACATACAAAAGAAGTAGAGGAAAAGTGACGATAGTAAGGATGAGGAAAGAAAAAGCAGCAGTTCCCCCTATGTTGTTCCGGCTCAGTATGAGCATGACTTTGATAAATCAGTCCATTTACAATTTTTATTCTACTGTGCATAAGAACATGTAAATTTCCCCCCTTTTGGAATGGCCTAAAAACACCCCAGTCAGTAGCACGGCTCTGGTGGTATTGGTTGTTGTTGTTTGTTTGTTTATTTGGGAGGGGGGCAGTGTCTGATGTCGCACTGGGAAATACATGTCTGTGGGCTGCACGAGATATTTAGCGCCTTGAAAAGTGGCAAAAGTGGACGCTGGCTGTTAAATGGTTAACAATCACTGTACACCAATAGTTGTCGTGTGTGGTCCTATATTGCCCTGTACACCAATAGTTGTCATGTGTGGTCCTATATTGCCCTGTACTGTACACCAATAGTTGTCGTGTGTGGTCCTATATTGCCCTGTACACCAATAGTTGTCGTGAGTGGTCCTATATTGCCCTGTACTGTACACCAATAGTTGTCGTGTGTGGTCCTATATTGCCCTGTACACCAATAGTTGTCGTGTGTGGTCCTATATTTCCCTGTACTGTACACCAATAGTTGTCGTGTGTGGTCCTATATTGCCCTGTACTGTACACCAATAGTTGTTGTGAGTGATCCTATATTGCCCTGTATTGTACACCAATAGTTGTCGTGTGTGGTCGTATATTGCCCTGTACACCAATAGTTGTCATGTGTGGTCCTATATTGCCCTGTACTGTACACCAATAGTTGTCGTGTGTGGTCCTATATTGCCCTGTACACCAATAGTTGTCGTGAGTGGTCCTATATTGCCCTGTACTGTACACCAATAGTTGTCGTGAGTGGTCCTATATTGCCCTGTACACCAATAGTTGTCGTGAGTGGTCCTATATTGCCCTGTACTGTACACCAATAGTTGTCGTGAGTGGTCCTATATTGCCCTGTACACCAATAGTTGTCATGTGTGGTCCTATATTGCCCTGTACTGTACACCAATAGTTGTCGTGTGTGGTCCTATATTGCCCTGTACACCAATAGTTGTCGTGAGTGGTCCTATATTGTCCTGTACTGTACACCAATAGTTGTCGTGTGTGGTCCTATATTGCCCTGTACTGTACACCAATAGTTGTCGTGAGTGGTCCTATATTGCCCTGTACACCAATTGTTGTCGTGAGTGGTCCTATATTGCCCTGTACACCAATAGTTGTCGTGAGTCGTCCTATATTGCCCTGTACTGTACACCAATAGTTGTCGTGTGTGGTCCTATATTGCCCTGTACTGTACACCAATAGTTGTCGTGAGTGGTCCTATATTGCCCTGTACACCAATTATTGTTGTCGTTGGAGGTACACCGATAGTGAAGGTGTGGTGGCTGAGCGGTTAGTGCCCTTGTCTCGGAAGCGGAAAGTCCAGGTTCGAGGTTTGGTTCAGACACGGATTTTTTTCACCCCCTCCTGCCCATCCAGCAGTAATGTAATGAGTACCAGAATTCGAGTTGGGGAAGTAAGGGTGGCCTGGAAAGGAACTGGCCACCCAACCTCAATATGCCGAAGGCCCAGGATGTTGTCTCACTAACAAGGCAATCCCCAAAGTCCGGATCGGATGCGGGAACAATTTTACCTTTACACCAATACTTTACCCACCAAGGCGGTGCCACTCTGACTGAAGTGTCTGTAAGCCTTTCCCAAAGGGGGACATTTCTCGTTCTACTGCACAGTAGAATTGTAAATGGGCTGATCCAACAACGTCATGCTCCTAACTGTGCCTGAACTACAACTGGGAACTGCTGCTTTTTCTTTCCTAATCCCTATTACCGTCATTTGTCCTCTACTTCTCTTGTATGTTTGTCACACTCTTGTAACCCGCTATTTCCGGGGTGCCTAGATAGTCGAAGCAGACTTTGTGCTGTTGAGGCTGGGAACTGCTGCTTTTTCTTTCCTAATCCTTATTATCGTCATTTGTCCTCTACTTCTCTTGTATGTTTGCCACACCCTTGATAGTCGAAGCAGACTTTGTGATGTTGAAGCTAGAGAAATAATCAGAGTAAGTCTGATTTCCTGTAAGGACTTCTCTGTTGACATCCACCCATTGGCGCTCATATGACCTTATGCAGTTGCGAGCGCCGTAAAGCCTCTACTAAAACATAAACCCCAATACTTGTCGTTGATGATCCTATACTGGGCCCTGTACATCGATAGGAGGTACCAATGCGACCGCCAATGTCACTTTGCCTTGTTCAAGAAGGCGTTTTAGTTTTAGTTTTAGTGAGAATTTTACGGCACTTGCAACACAATAAATCATATATAAGCTGAAAGTTAGAGGTGTCACAAGAGAATAGCTGACACAAATGAGAAGAAAGAGAGATAGTCGTAATACTAATAATGACAATGATAATGATAATAATAATAATAATAATAATAATAATAATAATAATAATAATAATATTGATAATGGAATAATAATTATAATAATAATAATAATAATAATAATAATAATAATAATGATGATAATAATAATAATAATAATAACAACAATAATAATAATAATAATAATAATAATAATAATAATAATAATAATAATAATAATAATAATAATAATAATAATAATAATAATAATGATGATGATGATGATGATGATAATGAAATGATAAAAATAATACTAATAGAAATAATGATAATGATAATGATTAATAATAATTCATGATAATATAATTATAATAATAAAAATAATAATAATAATAATAATAATAATAATAATAATAATAATAATAATAATAATAATAATAATAATAATAATAATAATAATACAAAGCTCACATCCATGCTCTATGTGCTTTACAACTAAGAATGACAGCTGATGTTGGATAGGAAAAGGACGCGCTTATTTAACGTGTGCATTACCCGGTACTCCGCATCTTGAAGATCTATTATTATTGTGTAGTTCTCAATGAGATTTTGACGCTGCATAGTATCTCAACAGGTACGTCTAGCCTTTATAAAGTTGCCTTATGTGCCAACTCCTTGACTGAAGTGCCTTTAGGCCATTCCCAAAGGAGGGAGGGGACATTAACGTGTTCCGATGCACAGTAGAATTGTGAATGGGCTGATTCATCAATGTCGTGCACATAAGTGTACCTGAACTACAACAGGGAACTGCTGCTTTTTCTTTCCTAATTTTTACTATCGTCATTATCCTCTACTTCTTTTGTATGTTTGTCATACTCTTGTGACACGCTATTTCCGTGGTGTCTTGATAGTCGAAGATCAACCTTGACTAGCTCTCAATGAGATTTGGACGCTGCGTAGTAACACGACAGGCAAGTCTAGTCTTGAAAAAGTTGCCTTATGTGCCAACTCTAAAGACAAAAACATCGTTTCGATTAGGAAGATGTTTTAAAACGGGTGCTTAGGGTACATGAAATGTGTGTG